ATAAAGTCTATGAGTTTAAGAAGTTCTAAAGTTTCTAAGTTAAAAAGATATTAATATTTAGTTGTAAACAAAAAATGCTTGCAAGAAGCAAAAGATAAGCCTACATTAGTCAGGTATCATCCGATATATTGTACCAGATATAATTATTAATCTATCATACATTTATGAGAAATTTTATTATTATCCACTTAATAGGCCGTTAATTAATAATAGACACTTAATATTAATCTCTTATTAATGATGATAAATAATTAACATTAAATAATTTAGTTTAATTATATTTAATTTTAATATATTTTTTTAATTATCAATTTTGATGTAAATAATTACAATTGTTATAATTTAATTTTACAGTCTATATTATGTCAATAATAAAGTTCGGTTTTCAAATAAAAACAAATACCAAGTGCATTATTTAACTATGCTTAAAATGTGATCAGTGACAGTTAAGCCTCAGTTTATTAAAAGCTGAATTATGTCATCTACACGTTTTACACTGGATTCATTAAGATAAATGAACTGGCTCTCTAATTGATTCAATTGGCCAACATAATCATCGCCTAAATAATAATCATTCAAATCACCGATATTATTGATAATGACTGATACCCCCACCTGACCCCCACTAACACCAGTAACCCGCGGGCCAGTAGCTGACGAGATTGATAGCGGGGTATATAATCGCCATTCGCGTAGTCCTCCATAGTTATGGCTAATATGACATACCTATTGAGAAATGTGTCGAGAATTTCAAATGAGTTTAAATCATGGTCATTTTTGTCCACAAAATGTGAGTATAATTTTTGTGGCAAATATGTTAAAATACAATTCATCGTGAAGTTTGTTTACAATATTATTTATAAATGCAATGTTTTATGGCTAACAGAAGTTTTAATAATAAATATATTTATTTCATAGTGCGCATTTATAGTAATTATTTAACTAATTATTATGAAGTATATTTTAATAAACATAATTACTAATTAATAGTTTAAAGTTTTGGATTATTATTTTTATATTTTATTATAATGTACTAGTGGAACTTTAAATGATCACCATGGCAATAATATTAAAAAGACTCATATTTCAAAACAATCATCATAAGTTAATTGCTAATTTTTGTGCATTTAGAATAGTTTTAATTTAAATATAATATTAATAATTTTAAATAATTTGTTGACTTCAATAAAATTATTTGAATAAAATGTTTAAAAAATTATTAATAAATAATTATCTGAATAAAAATTGGAGAATTTTATTTTGCACTTTTACATAAAATAAACAATGTTAAATAATTTAGATTAATTAATGTAAAATCAATTATCAATGTAAAAATAGACTATTATCTATTACTAGATAAATAACATAAAGTCTTTATATGACCATAATAGAGATTAGGTTTATTATGCACAAAATAAATGACCAAGGTTTTCTGTTGTCTAAATATCATTTTCATTATATTAAATAAAATAAAAGAAAAACAGTAGAAATTACCGGTAATATCATAAAACCTGTCAGGATAATTTTGAACAACAAAATATAACTATTACCTAGATAACAAATAATATTAGATAACTAAGTCACATAAAAGTTTATAATCACTAAAAACAACTAAATAAATAAAATACACCGACATAATCAGCAAGGTTGGAAACAGTTATCATATTTACCAATTTACCATTGAACATTTACTACCGGCATTCCACTGGTTACACATAAACGTTTGATATTTAATGGGAACGGGAGATTAGCACCTATAGCCCTATCAATACCTACCTATCAATCAACACAAAATACACACAAAAATCTGTATAAAAACAAAACACTTTCACAATCAGTATAACAAACATACTTTACGATGAATACGTGGCTAATACACGCCGTAGCACTGGTAGCCTACCTGTGCCCAGCCGTTCAACCATTAGGCACTGAATGTGGGGGCAAAGAGCTAACCCGTAGTCCCCAACAGGACTATTGGCTACCGACGCTCAAACACGAGGAATACGCCCCTTTCCACAGTAACCCGGGTCAGTACCAAGTGTTTCGTAACGTTAAGGACTACGGGGCCAAAGGGGACGGTATTACCGATGATACCGATGCTATACTAAAGGCTGTTGACGCGGGTGGCCGTTGTGGACAGGGATGTGGCTCTAGTACTGTATCACCGGCTATAGTGTACTTCCCATCCGGGAAATACCTCATCAGTCGACCGCTACTACAGCTATATTACACGCAATTCATCGGCGATGCCATACACCTACCGGAGCTCATTATGGCACCCAATTTCCAGGGTGATAAAGTCAGAGCCCTGGTCACTGCTAATGTTAATAACATGTGGGAACCAACATGCAACTTTTATCGTGAGGTATGTCACAGTTTAAGCAATAACAAGTATTTAATAAATTGTAGCTAGTTATTTTAAATTGCATAATTAATTATGTATTGTATGTAAAACATTAAATAACTAAATTTAACAACCAAGGGTAAATAAATAGATTCTCATAATATTTAAGTTAGCTATTTAAATATGTTCAAATAGTAACTGTAAAAATAAATTAAACTAGGTACGCAATCTGATACTGGACCTGACCAGGGCACCTGCCAATCACGAGGTAGCCGGTATACATTGGCAGGTTGCTCAGGCTACCGCGGTGACCAATGTGCATGTGAAAATGAGCCAGGCACCCGGTAATAATCACGTGGGTCTCTTTATCGAAAGTGGTAGCGGGGGCTATGTATCGGACTTGACATTTGATGGTGGTAGATACGGTATGCAACTGGGCAATCAACAGTTTACCACGCGCAATGTTACAATTAAGCACGCTAATGTTGGCATACAAACTAGCTGGCTATGGGGCTGGACGTTTAAAAATATTCGCATTGAGGATTGCAGTTCAGCAGGTACGTTTAAAATTAAATTAGTATTTATTAATATTATGATATTTAAATTTGTAGTTAAAAATCAATTATAATTTATATTATAAAGTTAGTTTTAAACTTATATTTTTAGTTAATATTATATTCGTAATTAATTAAATTTATAAAATTTATTTTAACTTAATTGATTTAGTATTTTAAAACTGTAATCTTATCATAATTTTAATTTATAAACTATCTAAATTTATAAAATTCTTTATTAATGGCAGGCGGAGAAAAGATCTTGCTTAAATTTATTTGTGTCAACAATTTTTACACAATATATTAATAATAATTATTTTAATTATTGTTATAATTATAGTTGTGATTAATTCCTAAAAAATACCTAATTAATTATTTAATATAAATTATTAAATTTATAAAGACATACTGTATAAATAACTTATACTGAATACACCAATTAATATTTATTTAGAAAATTATTAATTTAATTATTGCAACTTTATTTTATTTATCATGGTGTTTAAGCTGTAATTTTGTGATATACATATTCTATTTAAGGTATGTCAAAATTATAAAATTTTTATTGGGGAATTTTTCAACCGATTATTTTTATTATCAAAGAAAATGGTGGAAAATATCAGTTACTATAATATTTTATTAATTTTTTGTTACCTTTCTATTATGGTAAATTAACACTAATAACAAAATTACTTTATTTATCAGGTTAAAAATTAAGTTTTATATTTAATATTAATATTAAACAACTTTATTACAATACAATAAATAGTCTAACTACATTAAATTAATTTTTACTAAACAGGTATCGACATATCTGCGGGAGGGGAGGGCGCCCAAAAAATCGGATCCCTGACCCTCATGGACTCCGAGATTACTAACACTCCCGTCGGTGTGCATACCGTAAGCAGCCCTACCTCTAAACCCGCAGGTGGTGGCGCCCTAATACTGGACAATGTCAAGCTAACCAACGTAGCCAAGGCTGTAGCTAAACCTAATGGGCAGACCGTACTCGATGGTGGTAGCAAGATCATACAGTCGTGGGGTCAGGGTCGATTTTACGACGCAACAGGCAATGGTGAATATAAGCAAGGTCCACTGACAGCTCCCTCCAAACCTACAGCCCTATTGGACGGGAACGGGAAGTTTGTTGAGCGCCCGAAACCCGAGTACACGGACGTAGCTATGGCTGACTTTATTAGCGTTAAGGCTGAAGGTGCCAAAGGGGACGGCAGTACCGATGATACCAAGGCTATCCAACAGACCCTGAGCAAGTGGGCGGGCTGTAAGGTTATATACTTCCCCAGCGGAGATTACGTGGTGTCCGACACGGTAGAGGTGCCCGCGGGCTCCCGACTAGTCGGCGAGCTATGGCCCACGATATTGGCTACCGGTGCCAAGTTCTCGGACCCCAAAAACCCTATACCCGTATTCAAAGTGGGCAACCCTGGTGACGTAGGTGTGGCCGAAATTAGCGACTTTATATTCTCAGCGGCGGGTCCCGTGCCCGGGGCTATACTCCTCCAGATAAACATCAGGGAACCGGAGGGTCAACAGGCGGGGGTCGGTGTATGGGACACCCATTTCCGTGTGGGCGGGGCTACGGGTACGAAACAGGAGGGCAACTGCAACCGTGGGGGTGGAGTCAAACACGAGTGTCAGGGGGCGTTCCTAATGCTACACGTGGGGGCCACAGGTAGTGCCTACGTTGAGCACATGTGGGCGTGGCTGGCAGACCATGGCCTTGACAGTGGTGGCCAGACCTCCATATATAACGGTCGGGGTATTTATATCGAGTCCAAGGAGGGCCCGGTATGGGGCTATGGCACGGCCTCCGAGCATAACGTGTTGTATCAGTACAATATAGCCAACGCTAAGAATGTGATACTGGGGCTCATCCAGACTGAGACCGCCTATTATCAGTCCAGTCCACCGGCCCCACAGCCGTTCACATCCCTGGCCCAGTATAACGACCCGGACTTTAGTCACTGCAAACAGGGCTCCCAGACGTGTCCCATGGGATGGGGTCTCAGGATTTACAACTCGAAACAGGTGTATGTCTACGGGGCCGGGCTCTACAACTTTTTCCAGAATTACGGACAGGGATGCCTGGGTCAGGAGCACTGTCAGGACAGTATGGTGTCCATTGAGAAGTCCCCGAAAAATGTGTTTTTATATAACCTGAACACTAAGGCCGCGGATAATATGGTGAGTGTTGACGGACAGAGTCGTGTGAAACAGGCGGACAATAGGGCCGACTTCTGCTCCACTATTGCCGGCTATTTCCAGCACTAGTAGGCGATTGTAAAAACTACCTGTGCTTGACTTAACTTAACATAAAATTGCCAAATATGATATTTCAATCATTTTATAATAATTGAATATAGTAATTAAAACTGTAAATTTTGATTAAATAAATTTGAAATTTTAAATTAAAAATAATTATTTGTAATGTTGGATGTCGTTTCACTAATGGAATTAAACATTTGTAACTTATATTTTAATCATGTTTAAATAGCCACACATCTTAATTTGAAACCATAATAAAATGCCATTTAAAGCACATTGATTTAAAAGTATTAAAACTAATAATAATTAATTCAATTTGTTTGTAAACTGTAGTCTTTCATATTTTCAACTACGATAGTAAAAATCTATTATAATAATTAATAAATGTCATTTATTCAAACTTCATTGCCAATCAAAATTTCCTAATTATTTTTTAATTTTTTATATTTAATTGTGCAGGGGCCTAATAGTTATTAGCAATTGATTAAATAATCAATAATTATATTTATAAATTACATTAACTAGTTATTATACGCTAGGTATGACTAACTTTATAACAAATAGTGTTCAATACAATCACACAAGCCACTAATCTCCTAATTATTAAACAAAAAATATTAAGTATTTTCGTAGTGTGCCGGGGACACTTTTATATTGTATTAAAAAATAGACACATTTTAATCAATAAATTCTCATTAATTACAGTTTACATAAAATAGCACATAATTATAGCTTATAAACAAATATTGAATATTACAAAAAAAATTGTCGAAGAATAATTATCCTGATAATATGTTTAAATTTATAGAAATAGTCACCCATGCTTATACTAAGGTTTGGGTCAGTTATGGTCAGTTATTTAAAATGTACACGTTTTTTAAACAATGTAAGGTAATATCATAAAATAATTTTAAAACTTCTACTTGGAACAAGTTTGATACAGTCTAATTTTAAGATTAATATTTATTTTTAAAATATTTTGTCATATCGGCTAACAAACGATATTAGTTTTCTATTCAAATGATAACAAAAATGGGCTTACTCGTCAGACATTATAATTTACTGATTATTATTTTTTATAATTGTACACGATATTATTAAACAAATTATTAAATTTTCACTTGTTATATTTATAAATTACATTAAATAGTAATTATACTTAAGGTAAATTGTACATATCATACAAACCATACATATTGTTATTCAATACAATCACCAAAAACATTTGGAATCCCATACCTCCAGGGATAGGAACTCCCGAATATGCGTTCGATCAGTCATTTTGTCCTTTTCTCATTCCGGTTACAATAAACCCAGTCATTGGGTGAACAAGGTAAGCACAAGCGATACCCTTCAGGGTCATAGCTAGAGCTAATATTGAGTGGAGATTTTTTTGAGAAAATCCACTGTTTTTAGGCAAATTGGGTTAAGCATAACAGACCTAACCTTTAATCTCTCTTATCAGTGAAATCAATATCATATTAAAACTTTACACTAAGAGATTACCTGTACATGGATTAGCGCAAGTTAGAACTGTTCAACCAGGCTATATTGAGCCCAAGTCGGTTTAAAACAGTGTATTCTTTCCACTGAATATTGGCTTTAGTCATAGCTAGAGCCCGGAATGAGTGGAAAAAAGCGTAGAAAATACACTGTTTTCAGACCGATTTGGGTTGAATATAGCCTGAGTGAATAGACCTATGCACTAATCCTTGTGCTAATTCCTGATAGTGTAAAGTTTTAATATGATGTGCTAATCACTGATAAGAGAGAGATTAAGTTAGATGTGTTATACTAAACCCAAGTCATCTGAAAACAGTGTCTCTCTTCCACTCATTCCGGACTCTAGTCATAGCC